CAAGGTCCACAAGATATGGAGGTTAACAATTGTGGTTATTTTATTAAAATAAGAACTTGTTAATTATTGTCAGAATAAGTGAGAGACTAAGGGCGCAATTATAACTATCATCCCATCTAGGTTTTCTACGTACGCAGCTGCACGAAGCAAAAAGTTATTTGGTTGGTTTTTAAGAATTTTTATTAATAAAATATTGAGATATTTTTTTCAAAATTCTAGATATTGAATCAACCATATTGAGAGCATATCTGCCGGCTCTATTTTTAAAGAACATATTTTGCAATTAAGGAGTATCGATATATATATATATATATGGGGAGTAATTTTTTTTTAAATACATCAATAGTCTCTTTATCTTTGATACTTAATTTTACTACTCTCGATATGTATTTATTATATTTTTCCGATTATTTTATATTTTATGAACTTTCCTTCAAATTATTATATTATTCTTACTTTTAGAGCATTTTCAAAAAAACTCTTTAAAAGTGAAAATGTTATCTATTTCAAAAAGTCAATGCTTAAAATTATGCTTTAAAAAACTTTTCAAATTAATATTTTAAGATAGAGAGTGAGTTTAACTCTCCAATTCACTCTTTATAATTAAAAACATTCTAATTTTCAATGCTCCATATATTATTCAAATTAAATAGCATATCCAATATAATAATTTGGAGGAAAGTTGGTGAAAATAAAAGATAGAAAAAAATAATAAATACATATTGGGAGTAGTAAAATTAACTTTTAAAGATAAAGCCCGTTGAAATATTTTTAAAAATTTATATATATAACAATAGTTTTGAATAGTAATTTTTAGGAGAATGTGTAGTTAAAAAATAATAAAAAATTTAGATTTACGTACATAATTTTTTATGTGTGAATGTGTTGTTGAAAATAAGTACGTAAAAAATAGTTTTCAAATAATAGTTATCAAACAGACTTACTATCCTACTTGAATTGTGTTCAAGGGAAGCAAATACATCTTTATATTGCGAAATGAGTGATTCACAAGAGTTTCAAGCACTTCACATAAATGATATCTTGTACCAAAATATATGATAAAAGAGAGATGTCTAAGACATTCATCATTATTTTCTCCAACTAATGAGCCAAGCATGCTTTCTTCTAAAAAGTAATGACATCTTCCTTTTTTATTTTTATTTTTTGTCTCAACTATAGTCTATAGTTTGAGAATTACACTAAAACTACTATGTGCAAACACGGATTAATGCCACACTAAATACGATACATGCAGTATCTAGTTAGTAAGCTTTAGTGAGTTTCAAGAAATGTATAGTTAAAAATTATATTGAAAATATATATATATACAGAAATGATCTAATGAGCACCGGTGCTCATTTTATCCTAAACACCAATGAGTTGGCACATTAATT